GTTAGCTAATTTTTTCTCTGCATGCCAGATGTGTTCAGCTTCAACTCCCAGCCATCAGCCATGCTGGAATAGAAGTCAACACGTTGGGAAGAGGGGTCTAATGGAAGTGGCTGGGATGAATTGGGCTTGATTGCCTTTAAATATTTAAACATTTTTACATTATATGTCTGTATGTCTGCATAATTATATATAATTTACTGCCTTTATCCTAGAGAGTAAGCTGAACAATTGAATGCATAAATATTTTTGACAGTTCCTAATATTTCCTTTCATCTTTTGAAAGCCTCTAATTAGCAATTTAATTAATTGCATCAGACTACTGGTGTTTTGTTATTCCAAAGTGGATGTACTTTTCCCACTCCCCTTTCTCCCCAAATGAGACAAGCTTTTCTCATCTGCATCTTGCAGGGAGCTCTATTATCTATGTCAACATCTTCATAGACCATAATGGTGCTTTACAGCCACATCTGCAAACCTGAGAGTCCTCCAGATGTGTAGACCTCAGTTCCCAGAATTCCCCAGCCAGCATGGCCACTGCTGAGAATTCTGGAAGTTGAAGTCCAAGCACCTGGATAGCATCCACATTGGAGAAGGCTACTTTACAGACTGACAGAGCCCAACTCCAAAATTTTATAACGAATAAAATAAAATTTGACATCCAGGGAAGGGACAGAAGACTGAAATGATGATAACTAGAATATGAGTCTGAATTTAGGCAGTTGACAAATATACTATTCTGGTCTCATTTTATCATCGATCGTGTGCCTATAATTAAGCACAGCACAAGCATAGGATAAAAATAATATTGTAACATACTACAATCTACTATAAAATCACAGTATAAAGAAAGGAGCCTCTAGAGTAAAAGATTCATAATATAATATCAATATGTCTGCATTAATAAGTAAAAGAAATAAAGATTCCAACGTGATGCCCAAGTGTGCCATTGCTCCCTCGCTGCTCTTCTGACTTCTTCCTCCACCTCATGTTTTACCTTTGCTTTAAAGTTGAGTTAAAACAGGAGAAGCTGCTATGCTTCAAAGCAAATGACCAGCCTGCAGTATCATTTTTATTAACAAGAATACCTCTCAGCCCCAGATGGGCCCCATAAGATTTCTCTGGAACATTGATGTGAAGAAGGAAAGGGTCACTTTATCCTGCCTGGTGGACTCACAAAAAAGCCAGAAGATTTTGGGTTCAAATGCCCACGGTGATACAAAGAAGTTTAAAGATTAATATTCAAATGAAACTAGAATTCTTCTTGTTGGGACTAATGGATAGACAGAAAACAGTTATGGAAGATTGTTTTTATATACGATAACTGCTGCAAGATTATTATATGCACAAAAATGGAAAGACTCTGAAATATCCACAAAGGAAGAATGGCTGGTGAAGATGACAGAATGAGCAGAGACAGCAAAATTGACTTGTTTGATTAGAGAAAGGACACTAAGTACATTTATTAGGGACTGGAAACCCTTTATGGACTTTTTTTGCTGATAGAAGAAAAATGAACTTGTGATTTATGGGTTTGATGATTACAAAGGGTAGACTACGGAAAGAAGGAAATTATATTGTAACCTTAGAGAGAGAGGGTAAAATATAAATATACTTGTAACTGCTGTTATGATCGGAAGCCACCTCTTTATAATTTTTCCTTTCCTTTTCTTTTTTCCTCTTCTCTATTTCTTTCTTTGTACTTTTTTTCACTTACTTTTTACTCTTCTTTACTATCCTTACTTTTTTCTTTCAAAATTTGTATTATTTTCATTCTTTTAAAATTTTCTTTAATAAAAATTTACACACGCACACACACATATATACATATACATACATACATACATACATATATATATATATATATATATATATATATATGAGATAAAGCATTATTATTTAGAGCAATCTGGCATCAACTGGGAGAGGGGGGGATGCAGTCCTCCAGATGTTGTTAAGCTGCACCAACTCCCAGAGCATGGCTAACAACAAGAGATACTGGAAGATGCAGTCTACCACATCTGAAGGCTCACAAGTCCCTGAATTAATGGATTGTTCCTGCAGGCTTGGACATGAACAAGATCCATGTAATATGTAACTTGATTGCTTAATTGAGACCTTCACATACTCTTTGTTTATGGGATATTTTTTGGTTTGGTTGGGGTTATCTCCTGTAGTTGGATGGTCTTGTTTTGGATAGGATGTTGATTTTACCTCCTTTGTATTGGGCAGGATGTGGTGGTAAGGAATTGAGGTAGAATAGTAAATTAGGGCTACCAGCTACCAGTCTTAGGGCATTTACTTCCTGGGCCACTGGCTGAGTCAACAATCTCTGCTTCTGATGCCCTCCAGGCTGAAATTCTGGCTTTGTCATCTATTATTTCCACACATGCCCCCTTTAATTAGATTGATTAATGGTGAATGATATATCCCAGCAACCAGGGGTAAGAATAGTCTCTGGTTATGGACTAGAGAGTGCTGCCCACTTTTCCTCCACCACAGCTAGCAAAATGCATTCTAACAATCTTTTTCCCTTTGAGGAAATTATTCATACCAGAGACTTTGTTTCTTTGGAAAGAGCTATGGGAATAAAGGCAAACAAATGAAAAAAGAAAATCACATTCACGGGATAAGATCTGCATCTGTGTGGCTTATATGAGTTATTCATGGGGTGTGTTTCTTGACACAGACCTCTCCATCTGAAGACCTAAACAAGAGACAGCTTTTATCACCCCATCGCCTTTCTATGGATCAACCTGAGGAACATTTTCAAAGGCAACGAGCTGTGAGTGCTGTTAGCATCATCACCAGTGCCATGGAAGGTAAGACTTCCCTGTGATGCAGGGAATATATTCTATTCTGTATCATAAATATCATGTTACAGAATAGAATATCAGGTCATGCACCACCTTGCCAGTTGCTTGCTGAAATACATATTCTATATCAGCCTTCCTCCTAACCTAGCAGCCTCCAGATGTGTTGGGACTGCAACACCCAGAATTCCTGGGCAACATGATCTTAAGCTCTGGGAGTTGCAGTTCCAGTGCATGAGAAGGATACCGGGTTGGGGAAAGGTGTCCTAGATGAAAGTATCTCTAAGAGATCTTTATTTAACCTTTGGGAAAGAAATCCTGCTAATCTCCTCTTAATAGGATTTTCTATTGTTTCATTCAGAAACAACATTTGGTTAACTTCTAGAAGCTCAGAATTCCACAGAGCAGTTGTATAAATATCAACTCAGAAGTAAGTAAGTTGCATAATATGGCCTGAATGTAACCACTTATTGTGCGGAAATTGCCCTACAAAGTGCACAATTGTCATTGTCATATTGTTCTGCAGCTATGTTGCAGGTCATTTCATGCTCCCCTCTTAGATGCTTCCCTAGATACTCCAACATGTTCCTTTCCACACCAGATATCTTTTCCTTCCTAATTTTCTCATCAACAGCTGGGTCTATCTGCTCAGAGGAAGAGGAGGGAATAAGATGGTGGAATCGACTTCCATACTTTAAACTATACATGGGGGAAATAATAAGTCTATCTATGGAACATCCTCCCCCTGAGATCTGACAGGCCCCCGCCCTTTTAACCTTCAGGAGAGCATACAATACTCTTCCCCCAAGCTTTGAGATAGAGTGAGGTCAGAGTGGGAGGGGAATGTTGTGGGTTGCATCAGGAAAGTGTGGCTGAGGTGCCAGGTTTTTCTATTTTTTTTGTTTTGTTTTTACTGAGGATTTTTGTTTTGCTTTTATTATTGTCCTGTTTTGTTTTTTGCTTTTTGCTTTTATTGTATATATTGTTTTATTCTTTGTTGTAAGCCCCCCAGAGTTTGGTTTAAGATGGGCAGCTATACAAATGTTATAAATAAATAAAATCTGATACCCCACGCACAAACTGCCTCCAGAGAGAACATGATGAATGTTCTGGCCTAGCCCTTTGTTGACTTTCTTGGAGGGATTTTTCCAGTTTGAATGTGGGAAAGAATTTGGAGATGTGATACCCCCCTCCCACCTCCCCAATCTTATATTATGAGGTGATGTCTCCCAAGACCATCTACCAGTCTGCTGCCTGTGTTAAACTGGCAAAGAAGGAAGGCTGGATTCTGTTTCAACAAACCAATTCCTAATCATGTGTCCTAAGGATAAATGAGAGCTGAGAGTCATTGGGGGTGAGAGAAGATGATATGCATTCCTTAACCAACCATGAAGACAGAGAGTGACAATGGCCTGAATGCTTCTGCATGGGTCATCTCTAACTAAAACTCTCTGGGCTGCCTTGGCTTTCAGAAACTTTTAAGAAAGAAACAGAGCTCACATGGTGCCAGCTTTGTCCAAGTATCAGGAACCAAGTCATTTGGAGAAGTATAAATTCCACTTTGCCTTAAATCAACCAAAAGTAGAGGAAGTGGCAACCATGTTAGACTATTGCCCATCTATTTCAGCTAGCATAAGCTCTCCATATTGGCTAACCATACCTGCAAATTAGTGTCAGATGCTTAATTCAAGTTCAGTCCAAGAGTAGGACAGCATCATACTTGTGTGTATGCTTCAGCACATATTAGGTCTTCCTTCCCAGCCACAGTTTCCTTGGAGAGATTCTGCATCTAGTCTACTTAGCTGTAAAGATGATGGAAGAAAGGAAAACAGGGAGGCACTTAGGATTGGCTCTGTGCGAAGGCTAAGGAAACTATAGACCTCCAGATGTTGCCAAACTACAACTCTTAAGAGCCCCACCCAGTTTAGCCAATGGCAGAGGATGTTGGGAGTTGTATTTCAGCATTCTCTGAAGGCCCACAGACCCTTTACTCCTTTTCTAAACTAAGACCTCCTTTCAACCAGAATGTTGTAGCTTCAATTATCACATTCTGTATCTGAAGAACTTATTCTGCCCCTTTTAAAATTTTATTGCTTTTTTTAAATGAAAGAAACACATCAAGCATTTTTTTTCAAATGCAAGATAATAAAGTAAAAGAGCAAATAAAACTTTGGCATGTATATGCATGATCATGTAAGTAATCTTAAGGAAGAATACAGAAATTAAAAATATAATATTTTTACACAGAAAGACAAAGATATAGGTAGTCCTCAGGTTATGACGGCAATTGGGACCGGGATTGCCATCGCTAAGCAATGCAGTTGTAAAGTGCAACATCACATGACTGCATTGCTTAGCAATGGCAACCCTGGCAGTCTAGGTTGCTGTCGTAACCCCAAGATGCACGGGTCATTAAGCAGGAAGTTGCAGGCATCCCAGGTAAGGAGCAAAGGGGTGCCACGGGTGGGATGGAAGAGGGCTTAGGAGGTCCAGTGTAGGCTGCACATGTATCGAGGGAGGCCAGAGAGGGCTTGGGAGGCCCAGCCCAAGCTGTGCACGAATTGAGGGAGGCTGGGGGAAAGCTTGCGAGGGTCGGTGGAGGCTGAGTGCAGGTTGGGGGGTATTGTGGGCAGAAGCGACTTACT